TGCATATAAATATCAAATAATTATGCTGTATATCTGAAACTAATATAATGTTATATGTCAATAATACCTCAATAAAAATAAATTACGGATAAAATTTTAAAATGAGAAATATTATAAATAACTCTGAAAACAAAAAAAAGGTAAATCATACATTGCAAATCAATAAGAAGGTGTGTGGTAAAAAAAATTTTAAAAATAAAGGAAAATAGCCAACAAATACAATAAATATAAATGAAAAAAAGACAAATACTAGATAATAAAAGGAGAAGAAATCTCAAATAATTTTTAGAAGTCTTGTGGTCAAGAAGAAAATGATTGGGAAGAGGCAGGTTTGGGAGAAAGTTTAAACAAATTTTTTTTATTTCTTTAAACCTTCATTTTTTAAATTTGTAATATTCTTTACTAATCTAAAATACTTTGTGATTTTAAGGACATAAAATATAACTTATAGAACTTTACTTGATCACTAAAATAATTATGTTTTAAAAGTGCAGTTGTCTAAGGTTATTACAATTTAAAAAAATAATAATGCTATCAACTGTAGAACCTTACTGTCAATTTATGAGAAACAAGATGAAAGTAATATAATAATAAAAGCATAATATGCTAATCAGACCAGGTGACCTACCAGACAACCTTCTAGACCAAGCAGTGGCTGTGAGGGAAGCCGGGGTCCAGGTGCCAGAGGGAAGCCGGTGCCGGAAGTTGGGGGGAAGGAAGGCCTGCTCTTGCACATATTTTGTGCTTCGGGCCTCTAGTAATATAAGAAGCTATAAAGGCCATCATCTATCATTTGAAGCCTATCCTACCCAATAAAAGAGAAGCATGCAAATTGACTGCACCTTTGCTATGCCTACCAGCACCCCCCATGAGCCAATCAGGGTGAGTATGCAAATTAACGCAGCCAAGATGGTGGTTAACTTGCATATCCAGTCCAGAGCGAAGACTGAAGACCATAGAAAGAAGCCAAGAGCTGCGGAGAAGCAAGCAGGGCAGCAGAGAAGGGAGGAAGGCAGACAGGGCAGCGACTGCAGCAGGAAGCCCTATTGCAGGGACCTTCCTGCAAGGGGCATCTAGTTATTTTATAATCATCTATTGGATATAGAAATATATTTTAAAGATGCCAAAAAAAAAAAAAAACAGAAATAAAAATGAATGTATTCAGGGAACCCTTTTGCCTCAAAGATGTTAGTCTAATAGTAAACATCCACATCAAGTGCTGAGACAAAGAGTCTGATTGCCACTGACTAGGTACATTAGTATATACTTAGGACGGTCCTTTCTTTTCTCTGAGCCTCATGTTTCATCTTTAAGATCAAGGAGTTGGATTAAAATGCCATCTGATTCTAATTTAACATGATCGTTCAAAAGCTACAGTGGTGGAGGGTGTGGTTCCCCACCCAGCTTACCGCCCTAATGAAGGGCTGATTCACCCAGCCACTAGCACTACTGGTGGCTGATGGCTCTCACCTGCATCCCTCTCTAGAAGTTGCCCTTGACCAAAGAGATCCACCCAGCTCAACGTTGTGGCCCCTTTCTGGGAGCCACTTGTATCCAATGACTGGTCCATTAGGAGACACAGAGTGTGGGCCCTCATGCCTCCATTCAGGATATCTCTGCAGGCCACCTCAGACTGGGAGCTCCCTGTGGTCTTTGTAGCATCTGCAGCAAAGTTCAGCTTCTCCTGCCCAGTCCAGCATGCTTCATTCCCTACTCGGCATTGAACTTGAGTGTATAACCCAACATACTTCCTGCAAGCAAATTCCCACATTAGGGTCTGCTCTGGGGGAAACCTGAGATGGAACAAGCACTAAATAAATCTCTGTGACTTCTGTGAAAATAACAGTGTCTCCTGGAGGCAGAAATACTTTATGTCTGTCTCCTGGAGGCAGAAATACTTTATTTTGGGTTTTGGACTGTACTTATTGTCATAATCAGGAATTATGAAGCTGTTAATAGTCCAATACAATAGGTCCTCGGGTTACCTCGTAGATATGTTCCTACCGTGTGACAAAATGTGATTTTTGCCATAAGTCAGAACCCACCTACATAAGCACCTACATCACTCACATGGAGCACATACACAGCAGTAATGAAGTGAAACAGTAAAATAATTTAAAAGAAAGATAACAATTCCTGATCTTACTTGTGGTAAATAAATAATAATAATAAAAAAAAACATAAAGCACATATGTACATATGTCAAAATGACGGAACTTTTTTTTTATATAAATAAATTGGAGATGGCAACATAACCACAAAACAATAACGTACGTCGAGTCCAACATAACCCAAGGACTGTCTGTAATTGTTTTCACAAAGCATGATAAAACATTTTAAAACTATTTCAGAGAAATAAGATTAGGTAGAAATGTAGAGAACATATTCTACATTTTAGATGAGAAATTGAAATTTTAACTCACTAGCTTAACAGTAAAAATACATATTGTTGTCTAATTTTTCAATTAAAAAATAGTGAATCTTTTTTCCCCCAAACTTTTGCTTCTCTCTAAAAAAAAAAAAAAAAAAAAAAAAAAATACAGAGACCCAAAATAGCCATATTTATATATAAAAGGCTAGACTGATCCTACATCCATCCAACCATTTGACCGACCAACCAACTGGCCAGTACATATGACCAGCACTGGAAATTTAAAAATAAATGTTGACTTGCACATGTGCAGTACATATAAAGCTCTCTTAGTGGTGTCAATTGCACATGTGTGCTTTGATTTGTCGTTGTTGATCATGAATTTGATTGTTATTGTGGACATTTCTGTTACAGAGAAAGGGCAAATAGTTAAATGTTAAAATATTTCTTCTAATTAATTTTCTTTCCATGTGCACGAATCCATGCACCAGGCCACTAGTGTAAATAACAAGAGGTAAAAACAAGTATTCTTAAGGAGCAGAGAATTATATTGGAAGATTAAATACAAATGAAAGCACAGGACATATTTTTTAAAACTTATTAGAATTAGAATGAAAACCCATACATAATAAATATCATTTTTCACAAGTTCTAGGTATTACTTTAACCAGTTTTTGTGTGAATTCGGATGGAATTCTTTTCTTTTTAAAGTTTATTTTTTTAAGAACTTTAGTAAAAATGTTTCTTTCCCCAGTTTCTCTTTTTCTGTCTTCTTGATTACTTTTTCCTCTAATGATAAAGGTTTCTTCATGTCCATGTCCAATACATATGCCTTTCCTATTGGAGTAACTCCCCTGTTCATTTTATAGTTTACTATTGCCTCTTCTTTACATATTTTAATTTCTTCTACATTCTTAAACAAAGGAACTTTTAAATTGAAATGGACCTTGAAAAGGCAATTGGTAGACACATATTCACTAACATAAATTCAACTGCCTCCTCTGCAATTCAACATCGGATGGTCTACCAAATAAACTGGATATTTCTGAGCTCCTCGGAGCTTGGCAACCAGAGAAATCCTGAATCCTGGTAAAACAGGAACAGCTGATTTAGCAAGCATGGCATGATTGTGCCTCTGATCCCTGCCAGGATAACAGAGGGTCTTATTTACTGACTCTTGTCTTGGTGCTTCTAAGTAGGTCCTGTTTCTGTGTACTTACCCCCTAGCCTTAGGCATGGAACAATGTTGAACATAGTGTCACTGGCCCTGGTGCCAGACAGGATCAGGGGCTCTGGAATATTTACAGTTTCCCTTCTTCTGCTTCCATAAATGAAACAAGCCGTATGAATGGAGGAAACCAAGGGCCAGCTGGCTAAAGGCACAACTGGCAGCAGAGCACTTGGGCTCCTTCCAAGAGCTGGTGTTTAAAGAGAGGCCATTTAAAGAGCACATTCCAACCGCCATAATAGCAGTGCAGGACGCTGGCTGTAGGATGAAACAGGCACATTTTACATAGAAAGATTTTCATTTCCAAAGTTTAGAACATATATATATATGCCCCACTTCTTAAAAAAATCTTCTAGTTTTAGAGTCAATCCTTAAAATAGCCTCTGGCAAATGGCAAACATATATACTTTGAGAATGTTAAATAAATTCTGTCCCAGGATGGCCGAAGTGTTATTTTGGCTTAAGCTCATTCATACAAAATAAGTAAAAAGTGTTGAGAAATGGAGAAGGAAACAGAAAGAGACAAGAAATGACACCAGAGTTTAGATGGGACAGCATGGCAGACGGCCAAAGACACTTAAACTAATTTGGGAGGCCATTAATATACCATGAGGCCAACTGAGAAATAAAGAGAGGCAGATTTCCTTTGTTGAATAAAATATTACTCCTATTTTGATAGTTAAGAAAAAAATGCAATAATCTCTTGAGGGGGGAAATAATCTTGGAGCCTGGAATTCTAGAAGACAAATTATACAGGCTTTTTTTTTTTTTTTCTTGCTGGGTTCTGATCATGACAACCATGCACTGGCCTTTTATTAACTCTAGAATCTCTGCTTGGTGCCAAATCAGAAATATACGTGACACTTTATTCAAGTAAATAAGTTTAAAATCAAAACAATTCGTCCTCACTGGTTTGGCTCAATGGATAGAGCGATGGCCTGCGGACTCAAGGGTCGCAGGTTTGATTTTGGTCAAGAATATGTACCTTGGTTTCAGGCACATCCCCAGTAGGAGGTGTGCAAGAGGCAGCTGATTGATGTTTCTCTCTCTTTGATGTTTCTAACTCTCTATCCCTCTACCTTCCCCTCAGTAAAAAAAAATCAATAAAATATATTAAAAAGTAAATAAATAAAATCAAAACAATTCTACATATTAGGAGATCATAATTATTGCACAATCTGGGAGCAGATGAGTTTGAAAGTGAACAAAGCTATCCCTCTTGATAGATGATAGATAGATAGATAGATAGATAGATAGATGATAGATAATTGGCAAGAGAAATGAAGGGGAAGGGGGGAAAGGAGTTCAACAGTCAGGGAGGTACCTGGCGCAGCCATCCTGATACTATAAAACCGGGAAATGGGTAAAGCCATTAGTTGGAGACCCCGAGGAAGGCATTACCTCGATGTAGGGCACAATCTTGCAGGAGAAGTCTTCCAGCAGCCACTTCTTGGTCAGCTCATGGAAGATGACGAGCGGGAGGCAGAAGAAGATGATCAGGAAGTCCCAGAAGGCCAGGTTGGCCAGGAGGGAGTTGGAGATGCTGCGCATGTAGTAGTTGTGGCACACGATGCACATCACCGCCAGGTTGCCGATGATGCCGGTGCCGAAGATCACCACCGACAGACACATGACCGCGTACGCCCCGTACGACTCCGGGGTCAGCGGGTAGAAGGGGTTCTTGAGACGCAGGCGCCGGCTGGTGCTGTTGCGCCGGCGGGGATCCTCGCGTTCGTGCACCCCTTCCCCCGAGGAGGACCCATTCTGCGCCAGAGCCCTCCCGGGGGGCGCGATCACCCGCCCTTCGCGCCCCAGGGGTCCGCGGACCGCCTTGGAGGGCGAGTCGCGGTGGGAACCCTGGTGCCTCCCGGCTCTCCTGGGCCAGTAATTCAGGTCGCCGGCTCCTCCGGGTTCCGTCCTCACCCCGGGCTCCTGGCGGCGCCCCAAAATGCCAGCGCCCCTGGGACCCTTGTCCTTCTCCTCTGAGGTCTGCAGGAAGAGCTGGAGGCCGGTGGGGTTGCCTCTCCCCAGAGGCCCGGGGGGCTCCGGATCCCGGGCCCCTCTCCACCTCCAGGAGCCGCCGGGTAGTCTGGCTGGAGGTCCCGAGGGCTCCGCCGCCGCTGCCTCCGCCCCTCTGCCCGCCCCGGGGCCGCCGCTCCGGGCCGCCGGCAGGTCCCCCGAGGGCGCGGCGCGCACCGCGGCTCCCCGCTCCCCCTCCCGGGGCGCGCGGGCTCGCAGAGGGGCATCCCCGCCGCGCCGCTGGGCCACTGCAGGTGAGCAGCTCGCCCCCAGGCAAGTTGAGTTCCGGGGCGCAGGGGCGGACCCGCGAGCAGCCGAGGCGGAGACCTGGAGCAGGAGCAGGAGCGGGAGCAGGAGCGGGAGCAGCCGCCGCGGGGTGCGGGCGGGAGGCGCGCTCCTGCCGGGCATGGCTCGCGGCTCCCGCTTAGGACCGACACCTGCTGCCCAAGTTGCTGCTGAGAGTGAGACACATGTCACCTACCCCCGGCCCGGAGATATACCCGGAGCTTTGGGGGGGAGGGGATGGGACGGGGGTCACCACCCTCCGGCGCTACGATCCTTCCACGTCCGGCGCCCGGTGCATGTCTCAGCCAAATCCACCCCGAGCGCGGCGAGTCCCCGCGGTGCCGAGAGGGACGCTCCCTCCGCTCCCGGCGGCTGCTGACCTTGAAAAGTTGCAGCCGCCACCTGACCGCCGAGGAAATGTTGCGCCTGGGAGAAGCCCCGCGCTCCTCCCCGCCTCGGGGCGATGCCTTCTCGGCAACCGTGGCTCTGCCTGTTCACATCCCGGCGGGCGACGCTGCCGCTCCGGGGCCGGCGGGGTGGGCCGGGGGAAGCTCCCCGCCTCCCGGTGACTAGTAGCTGCAAGCCCGTCCCCACGCGCTGGAAACAGGTTGCCAAACAGCCAGCCGCTGCACAGCTGCGCCCGGGAAACTCTTGCCTCCTTTCCCCACCCCCCACTCCCCCAACACAGGCGCCTGGCGAGGCCACAGCTGCCGGGGAGAATCGGGACTGGAAACCCGCAGCCGCGGGCAAAGTTGCTGCTCCTCCGGCTCAAAGTTGGCCGGGAGGAGGCGCGGGCTGCGGGGGCGGAGAGTCCCCGCGGAGAAGGCACCAGGGAGGGGAGGGGAGAGGGGGGAGGCGGGCGCTGCTCCTCCGTGCACGGTGCCCGCGGGCTCAGGAGCGTGTGGCTGCGGCGGCCGGTGCAGCCCGGGCGGGGAGCGCGGTGCCTGGAGCCGCCGCGAGCGAGGCGGTGCCGGGCGGGAAGGGGAGGGGGTGGCGGCCCGGCCTCTCCCCGCGGCTTCGGCCTCTGCGCGCTCTGCCTCCTCCTCCCCCCCCCCCCTCCCGCGCCGGCCTCCTCCGATCGACGCCGGTTTGTGGAGAGACGGGATCCCCTGGTGGTTGACGGCTCCCTAATCCTGCACACGTTTCCTGCCAGCCCTTTGTAGCGGCTTCCACTCCCGGGAGCTGGCAGCCTGCAGGGAACCGGGGCGGAGGAGGCAGGCGCGGATCCGGAGCTGCTCGGGGCCAGGGATGGGTTGGATGTGCCCGTTCCCCAGGTGTGGGAACCAGCCCGACCAGTCCGGGTCCGGGAGAAGGGAGAGGGAGAGACCCGAGAGATCACTGCCCATCCAGCCGCCGGGCCGGTGCGCATGCCCAGGCCTAGGGCCCCAGCGGGCCGCACAGCGAGGCGCGCACCGCCCTGGGTGTTCCCGGAGAGAAGGGAAGCTCCCAGGTTTCATCCTGAGAGAACGGGCAGCTGCTAGGGCGGGATGCAGAATGAGAAGGCTCAGTGTCCACCCTGACCTCGAAGGCGGTTGGGAAGCAGTCTACCAGGCGCTGCTTCACCATCCAGAACATAGTGAACGTGGCTTTGCTTGATGAAGTCCTGGGAGATGATAGATCGGGGGAAATTCACCTGAACAAATGTGTCACCATAGCTGACCTTGCCTTTCCAGTCTTTATAACAAACCCCACACTCCTGCCGCAGCTGCCAAGGTGTAGTTATTAAAGTGGGCGAATGCACACATCGCTTGAGAGAAAGTAACAGTGGAAGAGATAAACACATTTTGAAATGAGAGACAGGATAAAGAGCAAGGAAAAATATGATGCCAATTGTAGTCAATAGAATAATGGCCCTCCAGAAGATGGCCACGTCCTAATCCCTAATACCTGTGAGCACGGCGGAAGGGTCTTTGCAGCGGTGGTTTAGAGTTTGGGATGGGGAGAGAGTATCATGGACCATCCAGGTGGGCCCTTGAAGTCACAGGGGAAGGCGGGAGGGTTAGACTGAAGTGGAGCCAAGAGCCAAGAAATGCTGGGCATTTACCAAAACAGGTTTGGCTCAGTGGAAAGAGCATCGGCCTGCGGACTGAAGGATCCCAGGTTCGATTCTGGTCAAGGGGATATACCTTGGTTGTGGGCAAATAGATGTTTCTAACTCTTTATCCCTCTCTCGTCCTCTCTATAAAAAATCAATTATATATATATATATATATATATATATATATATATATATATATATATATATTTTTTTTTTTTTTTAAATGCTGGGAATCTATTGAATCTGGAAAAGGTCCCTAATCGCTCAATTTAGACTTCTAACCTCCAGAACTGTAAGATAATAAATTTGTGTTGTTTTAACCCACTAACTTTGTGGTAATTTGTTGCAGCAGCAATAGTAAACTAATATACCAATTAATCTGACAAGGTAGATTAACAAGAATAATTTTATAGAAAAATACAAACTAACAAAAATAACTCAAGAAGAAATGTCTTAGAAACAAGTAGAACTATAACATTAAAGAAATCAGATCATTCATCATGCTCTACTCACAAGGAAGCACTAGACCATAGCAAATCCAAAGAAATAAATATACATTTATACAAAGTGTTTGGAATAAAATATATATTTATACAAAATTCATTTTGTGAAGCCAGAATATCCTTACTATCAAAATCAGACAATGACAGAAAAAGAGAAAAAAATGTTTATTTACTTATATTGTTATTCATTTATATACACTGATTAATTAATTCACATGAATTAATTCAGTAAACAAATATTCTGACTGAGTTATGTAAGGTAGATTAATGAACAAATTAAGATCTGCCCTCACTGAATTTATATTCTCTTGGAGGAGATAGGCAATAAGCAAATAAATATGTAATGTCAGATGATGGTAAGTACTATGAAAATAAAATAAAATAAAGAGTAAAGGAATACAGCAATTAATGGGAAAAGCTGCTCCTTTATAAAGATGGTAGTGAAAGCCTCTGTAATAAAGTGATGTTTTAGTATTTATACACTCATACCCAAAAATACCAAAGAAAATTCTGACAAGTTGATTTCAACACCAACTGTTTGTTGTTGTTGTTGTTGTTGTTAACTATAGCATTTAATAGGGCTTGTCCCAGGAATGCCAAGATACCTTAACATTTACAACATTTTTTTAATATATATATATATATATATATATATATATATATATTGATTTTTTACAGAGAGGAAGAGAGAGGGATAGAGAGTTAGAAACATCAATGAGAGAGAAACATAGATCAGCTGCCTCCTGCAACACCCCCTACTGGGGATGTGCCTGCAACCAAGGTACATGCCCTTGACCGGAATCGAACCTGGGACCTTTCAGTCCACAGGCTGACACTTTATCCACTGAGCCAAATCTGTTTAAAAAAATAATTAATGAAATTGAGATATTGAAGGAGAAAGATATATTCATCTCAACAGACGCAGGAAAAAAAAAAAAACCTTGGTTAAATTCAACCATCATTATTAAATCTGTTAGCAAACTATAAATAGAGATGTTTCCTTAATATACTAAATGTTAACTAATAAAACACAGCAAAGATCTGTGTAAAATTTGGTTTATTTGACAGGAAATGATAAAATGGTGGTAAAGAACCTCAAGATGACAGCATCATTCTCAAAGCGGTCAGCTGCAGCTGAGATCTCCAACGTGGAGAGAGGTTTAGGAAAATCCTGGAGGCTGGGATGCCTACTGTCTGAGATGATACCTCATTATTCATAAGAAATCTCCTCCTTAACCTGAAGGATGGTGCCTTCCTACTTGGATGACTGCCATGCTATGGCACCTTAAATAAAGACTTAGTGACCATGAATAAAATCACAGAGACCTGCAGCTACTCTGTTGGAGCTTGCACAGTGTCAATCACCTATCTTTTTGGGAAACACAATTTTCTCATTAGTAAGACAAAGAAACTCATACCTGGTCTCAGCTTTGCTCACTCAAGTTGTTATAATAAGTAGGCACATTTGAAAAGACTTCATCAGTGTACAATATTTGTTTGCTTTTAGGAATTCAACTATTTCTTGCAGTTAGCAAAATTTCAACGCCATCAAGAACATATAAGCCTTGATAAATTAGTCTAAAGACATAAGTTTATTTTATAAGAAAATTTAGAAAGCCAAAGGAAAAATAAATGTCTTTCAAATCTTTTCCCAAAGCTTATTGCATCTGTAATTACATTTTTTAAATGAAAATTGTCACAGCTCATCTGTACTCGGAAAATATGGTGGCTAATCATTGTCGGTTCACATCAGAGGTTATTTGTCTGTAAAAAACTGATTTGAACATGGATTTTTCTGTGTCAGCATGCCACAGGGTTTCTAATATATAATATTGATTTTTTATATACAAAAGAGAACATGTAAATTATTACCTGTCTTGGCATTTCTATACAATCTATTAACTTCATTTACTGTTTGGTGTGCTGAAATAAGACATATTATAAAATAAGAGAAATGACTACTTTAAGTTTTAAGATACATCATCAAACAGGAAAAGTGTTACTCAATACTCAGTTTAATTCTCAGATAATTATTCTTTCCTTTTGGCTCTAGAGAATACAAATGGACCATTTCTCTGAGAGAAATTCTAACATGCAACCAATAGGTTATTATTTTCTGAGATTCAAAATATGTCTTTATTAAAAGATCATGGCTGCTTTCTCTGTCCGTCCCTAAATTACTAATTGTTAGTTTGAAAGCCTTTTATTGACTATCTTTCCCCTTTGCCACATGTAACAGCCCCTTTCGAATCAATGACAAAAATGGTACTGTTAGGGATAAATCGCCAATATGATTATGTCTATACTCAAAATTCAACTGTCAATATATAATTATCTAAAATTTAATATGAAAGAACAAAAATTAAAATAATCTGAACAAAATGAAAGAACAAAAATTAAAATTAAAATGCTCTGAAATGCAGCCTCTCCTTGTGATGAAAATCCATTGAGAAACAAAGATACCAGCTGGCAATGAGCCAGTAAGTACAGCTGGCGACCAGAAGATCTCAAGCTTTAGGCCCTTATAGTATCTCAAGTAATATGTCCCCCCTTGCTATTCATTTAGCTTTAAATTCTATAAA